TTATGCTATAACCGTTGCACAATTGTACTCACTCTCACACCTCTCGGTACAGAGAGTGTTTTTGCCCAATTGACTCTCTCGAGACCAATTGAGTAGGCCAATTAGACCAAGCAACTAGGGTTCAAGTAGGGTAATTACTCTCTCGAGATTTAACCCGTTAACTGGGACTACCATTTCTCATGGGTCCATCCCAATTCCTTGTTGGGTCAATTTTGGGGTTATGGACTCTCTTTCTCAAGAAGAGTTAAACCCACAAAGCTAGAATCAGTGTTTGCAACCACCAATCCTTAATTAAAAGATAAAATCAACCCAAATAACAAACACCCAATATCAATCTAACCTTAGATGGCAACACCCATCAATTACCCACACTAGGGTTGAGCCACAACCCTAGCTAATGGGTTTAGCTACTCATGCTAGATACAGAAATTGAAGAAATAGATGAAGAAGTAAGCATATTAACTAATTACTAGGAAGAAACTACAATAATAAAGAGCAAAAGTGCCAAAAATGGCTACAATATCGGTCTCATGAGCTCAGCTGCGTTCAGAACATAAAACTTAACCTAAAAATGGTAAAAGGTCCTATTTATACTGGGCTGGAAAAATTGGACAAAAATACCCCTGCGGGTCAGCGCGGACCGCGCAAAAAGAACCGCGGCCGCACTGGCTCTTGGACTCATGATTTCAGCTTCTCTGAAGTTGGGGACAGCAGACCGCGTGGAAATGCAGCGCGGCCGCGGTGGAAGTTGGCGCGGCCGCACAGAAATGAACGCGGGCCGCATTGCTTGGAATTGGCAAAATTATGGCTCTTTGAATCTCTGCTTCGCGGACCGCGTAAAAGAGTAGCGCGGCCGCGGAGCCTGACCGCGGACCGCGAGAATCCAACCGCGGCCGCGTAGCATGCCCACTTGAAACTGCCATCCTCTGGACCTCCTAGTGCGGTCGCATTCACATTTGCGCGGTCCGCACTAGGTTCTCTTTTCCTCAACTTACTTAGTCTTTGACACTTGCGCAGGTTTGACTCCTTTTTGAGCCGATCTTTGCCATTCATCGCTTTGTCGATCAAACCTGCAATCAAGTACAACTTGTGAGCATTATGGGACTATTTTGTAGCAATTTATAACCAAAGCATAGGCAAGTAGGGGCATAAAACATGTTAAAATCCTAACTTATCAAAGGGCAAGCTAAGCCCTAGATTCATCGGTCCTTTTGAGATTCCCGATCGAGTGGGAGAGGTGGCTTATAGACTTGCGTTGCCACCGAGTTTATCGGCAGTGCATCCAGTGTTTCATGTGTCCATGCTACGGAAGTATCACGACGATCCATCCCACGTGTTAGACTTCAGCACTGTCCAGTTGGACAAGGACTTGACCTATGAGGAGGAGCTGGTAACTATTCTAGACCGGCAGGTTCGTCAGCTGAGATCGAAGAATTTCCCTTCAGTTCGTGTGCAGTGGAGAGGTCATCCTGTTGAGGCAGCGACCTGGGAGTCCGAGTCCGATATGCGGAACCGTTATCCTCATCTTTTCACCGACTCAGGTACTTTTCTATGTCCGTTCGAGGACGAACGGTTATTTTAGAGGTGGAGAATGTGATGACCCTAATGGTCATCTCTTGTTTTAGAAGTCAAAACTGTGTACCAAGGCCTTGAAAACCTCTTTTCATCTCACCTCAATTTGCGTGCGCAGTCCGGGCACGTTTCCAGAAAGCTTTTATGTGAAATTTTAGAAAAAATAATAAAATTGGCCTTTAAAATTGATTAAAGCTGACTTTGGTCAACATTCTTGGCAAACGGACCCGGACCCGTAATCCAGCGGTCCCGTAGGGTCCGTAGTAAGATATGGGACTTGGGCATATGCCCGGAATCGAATTCCGAGGTCCCAAGCCCGAGAAAAGAATTTTTAAAGAAAATTATTTGCTGGAATATATAAAGACTTTTGAAATGAAATAATGCGTGTTCTTGATGGTATCGGGCCCGTATGTTGGTTCCGGAGCCCGGTACAAGTTTAAAATAATAAATAAGCCGAATCTGTGAAATTTGGTAAGAATCGGAGTTGATTTGGTACAAATCGGACCTTTAGTTGAGAAAATGGAAATTTCAATGTTCTTGAAGAATTTCATGAATTTGAGGTTAAATTCGTAGTTGTTGATGTTATTTTGATGATTTGATCGCACGAGCAAGTCCGTATGATGTTTTTAGACTTGCTTGCATGTTTGGTTTGGAGTTCCGAGGGCTCGGGTGAGTTTTGGATAGGCTACGGAGTTAATTTGGACTTAGGAGAATTGCTGGTATGTTGTAGCTGTGTAACAGGCCTCTGATCTCTCAATTACGAGATCAGGCTTCGCAAATGCAAAGTTCTCAGGCTTGGAAAATGCGACCCAGGCGTCGTAATTGTGAACCAAGCCTGGGCAGGCCATTCTCCAAAATGCGACACTTTGGCCGCAAATGCGAAGAAGTCAGGAGTCGCAAATGCGACATATCCTTCGCAAATGCGAAGGTAGCAGACTTCTGAAGGGTTCGCAATTGCGATAACTGCACCTGCTAAATGAGATTTCAAACGGGATTCTTCTTCATTCTAACAACTTTTCAAAACCTAAACATCACATAAGCGATTTTCTTGAAGAGAGTTCTTCCCCAAATCATAGGTAAACGATTTCTAACTTATTTTCTTCAATCTATAACATCTTTTTACATGATTTCACTTCAAAATTTAGGGTTTTTCATGGGAAATTGGGTGTTTTTGGGTAAAGTTAGGATTTTTAAATTTTGGGGATTTGGACCTCAATTTGAGGTCGGATTTCAAAACTAATTGCATATTTGAGTTCGTGAATGAATGGGTGATCGGGCTTTGCTTCGAACTTCGGTTTTGACCAAGCGGGCCCGGGGTCGGGTTTTGACTTTTTGGGGAAAACATTGGGAAATTCATGTTCATGCATTAGAATTGGTTAATCAGCATTTATTGATGTATTTGAATTAATTATGGCTAGATATGAGTGAATTGGTGGTGGAATCGAGAGGTAAAGCGGTGGTTGAGTGTTGAATTGTCCGTTGGCTTGAGGTAAGTGTTTGGTCTAACCTTGACTTGAGGGAATAGGAGTTTCCGACTTATGTGCTAAATGAAATATCATGTGTGTGGCGTATATGTGTGGTGACGAGTACCTATGCGCCACCAAATTCCATTTTTGGTTTGCTTTCCATTCCCCGTTTCCTATTATATTATTTCTCGCCCTATTTGCTTCCTACTTAAATTGTTTCCATGCCTTAACTGCTATTTGATCATAAATATCCCCATGCCTTAATTACTACTTGATCATAAATGCTTACGTGCCTTAATTGCTACTTGATCACAAATATTCCATGTCTAATTGCTCATGTTAATTGTTGTTCTCTTCATTGAATTATTTAGTTGCGCGCCGCAACAGGAGGAATAAGGGTGATATGTGTTGAGGAGCAATAAGGAAGGACAAGTGGGATCGGGTTGCGCGCCGCAACAAGGAGGGATAAGGGAGGATATTGATACTGTTATTGTTGAAAATATTGATATTGTTATTGTTTATTTCTGTCAAAGTTATTATTGAGGTGTTGAAATTTTCTAAGGATTGGTTATATCTTAATACTAGTAGATTGGCTGAGTCCTGTGTTCCTTTAATGCAAATTCTGGTTATTTTTCATTCCGTACTTCTTTTTCTGTTATTATAAACTGCTGCAGGTTATATACTGTCATGCCCCGCCGTAGCCTCGTCACTACTTCATCGAGGTTAGGCTCGACACTTACCAGTACATGGGGTCGGTTGTACTGATGCTACACTCTGCACTTCTTGTTCAGCTCCCAGTGCTGGACCGTACGGACCGTAGATCGAGGTTGCTGCTTTCAGTCCAGTGGAGACCCGAGGTAGTCCTGCAGGTGTCCGCAGGCCTTGGCGTCCCCTTCTATCTTGCTTTTATTCTGTTTTACCTACTTCCGAGACAGATTTGTATTTTCTTGTTCAGACCACTATTTGTAGTATTCGTAGACAGTCCGTGAAACTGTGACACCAGTTCTGGGCAGAGTGTTACTATGGATTTCGTATTAGTATTAAATTAAACTGTTAGATTCTGCTCTTCCGCATTTTGGTTTTCCGCTGTTTTTCTTATATTATTTGGTAAATGGTTAAAGATAAAGAAAAAAGGTAAAATAATCAGTAACGTTTGCCTAGCGGGCTCAATGTTAGGCGACATCACGGTCCCGACGGTGGAAAATTCGGGTTGTGACAGAATTAATTTACAAATACAGTTTACTAACAAGTCTTATTAGGTCGTTATAACTAACACAAGACTTGTTTTTTGTTTTCTCTTTCGAAGGTCTTGTAACTGTGATCGATTAATCTGAACACAATCTTTGTGCCGAGAACTTCTCTATCTATTAATGAAACCTATTACTGTTTGATTTTTCTTTTTTGGGTTGGCTTCTTTGTGTATATGGTTTTTAAAATTTTTAAATCCCCTTCGCGAATATCCTGCCTCCGCCACGACATATAACTTGATATTATTGGCTTTGAATTTGATTTGGCGTATCACTTCACTTATTAATGGCATGATACTGCTGACATTGAAATAGATTTGCATGATATTTCACTTAGGCATATAACATTGTCATGTTGATCTTGAATACTATAATTTAACATGCCACGTCATAAGCCTCATGGCATTAGTTCGAGTTCTAGAATAGAATAGCATTATAAAGGATTGTAGGCTAATGAAGTAGAATTAACATATTATGAAACTTTAAACTATAATTATTTCATATATTGGATTGAAATTAGAAACAATTAATCATATTGATTTCGTTAACCCACAATGTAACCAATATGCCTTGCTTTTAGGATTTTTTTTCTTTCAATCTTATAAAACTATGTTGTATAGCTTGAAATATCTGCAACCCATTCTCTTTCACCTCGGCATCCATAAATCTAAGTTGGCCACAAAGATTGGAAATCCTTTTCTTCAACCAAAAGAAAAAAAAAGAAATCTTTGTCACCGTCATTAGATAAAAACTTAAATTCATTACAAAAATAAAAAGCTCAAATCCTGAAGGTTAGGAACTACTTGAACTTTACATTAGCAAAAACTTCAAAAGAAAAAAAAAAGGAAAGTAGAAACAACTGTACAATTACTTGGACATACCAATACTAATGCACTTTCTTGGTAAAAATGCTTCTTATATTAAACAAATTACTCACACGTGCCACTTCATCAGTCACAGCGCCACCACTCTGGCCACCGCCAACCGCCGCCGCCGCAGCCACACTTATAGCACTATTTTCATCACTTCTGCAAACTGAATTTTGCCGGTAACCAATGCACATCGGTACATTCAACTTCAGTACTCTAGCTTTTGGCATACCGGTGACGGCAACTGACGTCATTTTCTGGTGTTCTTCAGATTCAACTTTTTCGACAATCTTTTCAGGTTTACTTTTCCGGTGACCTCCTGAGCGGCGGACTTGCCAAACTGCGCTGCTCCGGCCTAAATGTACTCCACTACGGCTGGGACTACTCGGCCATTTCCTACCGGCGGAGTTACTCCGGGAACACGGTGCACTATTCACCTTCCGAGTCACCACCCGTGGCGGCCTACTTCCGCCGTTACCGGCAGATATACTCCTCGAAAACGGCCAAATGTTGATATTCAGCTCCGCCGCATTCACCCCTATATTACTTCCACCAATTACAACGCCGCCCTTCTTCTCTTTCTTCTTCTTATCATTCTCTTTGCAATTCTGTGAAGTTTTCTTCTTGAAAATGTCTTTCCAACGCTTCGAAGAGTTCGTGGATTCACCGGCAGAAACCTCGGGTCCGGTTTCGGGTCTATCCGACCCGGATGATTCAGGCTCAGTTTTATGTGATGGAGGGTTCGGGTTAGGTGGGTGGAGAGGAAGAAGGATTCCATCGGAGAAGAGTTCATCGGCAGAGGGTAGGTCGGGTTGAGGAAAGGAAGGATTTCGGACCATCCAAAACTCGAATTCGGGTGAACGATTCAGGTCAATACTTAGTCTCCTTCCAGTACTGGTGCATTTTGCAAGTTCTTCAGGTTCTTCCATTAATTATCTACTCTTCAGAGAAAATAAGTAAATTTCTTCTTCTTCTTTAGCTTTTCTTTATAGAGTTACGAGGAAGAGGAAAACAAAAAGGCATGGGTGGGGTGCTTTGTTGGGGGTGGGGTGGGGTGGGGTGGGGCTGTATGGACTGACAGGAATGCACATGCAATAAAGAAAGGGAAATGAAAAGATGGAGAGAAGTGTCAGATCATACAAAGGTCGGTTAAGGGCATCAAGGTTCATTTCATTTGAGGATTTTTCTTCTCTTATATAGAGGGGGTGGAAATAGAGAAAATAGAAATAATTTTATCCCTTCACCTTGAGAAATGAGTTGGGTACATGAAGCAAATATTCCTAGAATTTAAATTATATGCCCAAATGATCTACTAAAAGATATTGGTATAATTATATTGCTTATAACATAATAATTTAAGTTAATATACTGATGATGTAAAAAAAATTTATATTACTAGGAGAATTATGTTTTAACTTTGTCGTAGCCAGCAATCTACCTATTGATCTTATTTTTTGTGAATGATTATCTGTAGTTATTTTAGGTAATTTAATAGTATTAAAATTCTTTTATATTCTTAATGTATAAAAATTAAGCTCATAAGGTCATTGTTGGATTATAGTTATTAATATTTTACCTGTAAATATAGCAACTTAACATGTTATAATAATGTAAAAACTAAATGCACTTACGGTGTAAAATGTTTTTATACAATGAGTGTACATGCTTAAAATCATTATTCATCATTTTACCTTGAAGATTGACAAAGTTCACAGAGGTTTGAGAAATTCTAGATCAAGTTGCTCTTTCTTGCTGATAATTAACTCTAAAATGATTTCTTTTTTTGACGGAGTTATTAATTATTTAACCCAATTAATCCTCTAATTTGAGCTCATACAACATTTTCCCGTCAATGTATTGGTATTAAATAAAACAACTGTCCTGTTGACCTTTTACAAAGTCAACTTTTTCTTACAGCATGATACCCTAGAACCGGGTAATAATGCTGTTGTCAACATTAAAATTTTAAGAGATTCAACATGATATAGGAACTATTAAATGTACAGCAACGCACAAGTCAAAGGAATTTTATACTATAAAAAGTTAAAAATATAACTCGAATAAGAGTAAAATCAAAAGGATATTCAATATCAGATTTGTAAATTAAATTTCATACAAGATCAGTTCTTCAATGTCTCAATCTTTTAAAATACTTTTATGATTGACCCATGCCGATATGTTAAAATAAAAAAAGAATGGTATAGAGGCGGACTCAAAATTTAAAGGTGGTGGGGCACATGAGCGAACTACTCAATCAGTACCTCATCAAACTTTTGATCTTAAGGGTTTCAGATTAAACATATAACCGTTTTCAACATATATTCACGTAAATATGAAGAATTTCTGCCAAGGTTAATTGGGGTCTGATGACCCTCTTCTTCATACATAGGCCGCCTCGGCATACTATATGAGAAATTAGTCTCAAGGGTTTTGTATTGGTGGAAAAATGGATACGATACGTGGATTAATGATATGTGATAGTTGGCATTTGATTGAGATCAATAAAGAAGAGTGACGATGTGCGGATAAAATACCCACAAGAATTATTACAAAAGATATAGTATTTCAAACCTGGGAAAGAAGAAGTAGGCACGGGATGCATGAAGACTACAAAAGAGGAAGATTAATGGGCAGTTACGAACATGGAAAGGGAATCAGCATCATCCCTGATTATGCATGATTGTTTATTATTACCATAACCGTTATGAGTAATTTGGGTAACACACAATTAATGTAACTAATGTTAGTAACGGACGGTAATTAAGTGAGGAAAAGCAGTTACATAATGCATCCTTATTTAAGTGTCCCTTACCTTATTTTGTGCGATCATCAGAAAACTCATGAATATATGCAATCAATCTTTTACTTTTACTTTTCTATTTGATTGAAGATCCTTGCTCGCAATTCTTGGGAGGAAACATCAATCATCAATAGATTTCTTTCCTTTGTATATTGAATATTGAATTTTAATTATTTTTTATGTCACGACCCAAAATCTACTAGTCGTGATGGAACCTAACTCAGCCCACTAGGAAAGCCAATTTGACAACTATCCATTTCCAATTAACTTAATAAAACAATTAAACAAGGAATTATCTGAATCTTATACATTTTCCAAGGACTGGTAGTACAAATCGTGAGCTTCTAAGAATAGAGTTTACAAAGCTGATATGAAGAAAATACATCTTCTGTTTGAAAAGTACATAAACAGAGTTTTCTAATCTAAGACTACCGTGAACAAGAGGCAGCTACAGCAAAAATGCAGGTACACCTTCAAATCCAGCAACCATCGAACACAACAAATTCGGCATCCGGAATTTGCACGCAATGTGCAGGAAGCGTAGTATGAGTACAACCGACCCCATATACTCAATAAGTAACAAACCTAAACTTAGGTTGAAAGTAGTGACGAGCTGGAACATAGGTCGGGTCCAATACCAATAACCAATAGAAGTTCATAACAACGTAAAGCATATATAAATAAGGAAGTAACTCAGAGATAAAATGCTTAGTTTTTAACAGTTTTTCGAAAATATAGTTTTGCTTTTCAAGAATATCAGTGAAACTCAAATACTTTACCGAAAACGTCATAAAATATGAGATAGTTTGAAAACTATAATTTTTCTGAAAAATCCTTTCCCTAATAAATAAAATATTTCCTTTTCTTCCCAAATAGCAAGTGTGAAATACCTCTCTATTCCCACATGTCAATGTGTGTAAAAGAAATCATGAACGACGTGATGTCGTGCAGTAGGAGGAAAAATGCATCTCTATGCATGTCAATGCCAGGTATCCCAGAGGTGAATCATTTGCTCACACTCTCCATTCATAAATGCTCAACCACTCGGTACTGTATATGGCTCATATGGCCCAAGGAAGATCCATCTCGGAATATACATATCACTAATCATCAGTCACTCAGTACCGAGGAAGGCCAATCCGGCCCCATGGAGAAGATCCATCTCAATATATATAAATGCTCAACCACTCGGTACTGTATATGGCTCATACGGCTTAGGGAAGATCCATCCCAGAATATATATATACACCACTGACCACCGGTCGTCAAAACCAAGGAAAAAGGATAATCCAGCCCCATGGAGAAGATTCATCTCCATGCCCAGGGAAGATCCATCCCTGAATATAATCAACTGCGTTCACAGGGGGTGTGTATAGACTCCGGAGGGGTTCCTTCAGCCCAAGCGCTATCATAAATCAGAATAACCGTTGCGGTATTGTAACGACCCGGTCGGTCGTTTCGTGAGTTATAGCCCCGTTTCTCCCATTTTTGCTTCCGTTTGTGTTCCTCAGCCATATTTGATCGTATCGCGTTGGTTGGTTTGGGTTCGAAGTGGTTTTGGAGTGAATTGAGACACTTAGTCTCTTTTGTGAAGGCTTAAGTTGGGGTTGACCGGATGTTGGCTTATGTGTAAACAACCTCGGATTTGAACTTTGATGGTTCTGTTAGCTCCGTTAGGTGATTTTTAACTTAGAAGCGCGTCCGGAATGTGATTTGGAGGTCTGTGGTAGAATTAGGCATGAATTGGCGAAAGTTGGAAATTTGGCAATTTTGGTCGCCAGTGGAAAATTTGATATCGGGGTCAAAATGGAATTCCGGAAGTTGGAGTAGGTTTTTAGTGTCATTTGTGACGCGTGTGCAAAATTTGGGGTCATTTAGACGTGATTTGATAGGTTTTGGCGTCGTTTGTGAAATTTGGATGTTCATAGGCTTGAATCCGAGGGTAATTTGGTATTGTGATGTTGTTTTGAGTGATTCGAAGGTTCGACTAAGTTTGAATGATGTTATGGGGTGTTTTGGTATGTTTGGTTGAGGTCCCGAGGGCCTCGGGTGAGTTTCGGGTGGTTAACAGATCAATTCTTGGCTTTAACAATTGGCAGATTTCTGGTGTCAGTTGTATCTGGTGTAGAAAGTTGACCGGGTCGTTACAACGCCGCAGTGGTTATTCTGATTTATTATAGCGCTTGGGTTGAAGGAGCCCCCCCGGAGTCTGCACACTCCAGTGAGCGCAGGTACCTACTGAGTATGATTATTGAGGGATGCGAGCCGAGTGATTGAGTTGCTGAGATGAGTTGAGTGACTGTGTCTTAAGAGACTGTACCTGTTTTCCCTTATTGTTGCACTTACTGTTTCCTATACTTGTTATATAACTCTATGAAGGACTTGTTATCTGGTACATGAGCACGAACTGATTTGACTTAGACTGTTAAATTTGAAAGCATGCCTATTTCTTGATGAAGTTTACTGGAATAAACTATATTTGCGTAGCTCGTCACTGCCTCTCAGTTCCTTATTTATTTCTGTTACTTACTGAGTTGGAAGTACTCACGTTACTCCTTGCACCCTGTGTGCAGATCCAGGCGTATCTGTGCACGGTAGCGGTTGTTGACTATACCAGTTGCTGATTATCTCGGAGATAGCAAGGTAGCTGCCTGGCGATCATAGCCCTGTTCTTCTCCCTCTTATCTCCCTTTAGTTGTATTTAGTTATTTTTCGGACTATCTTAGTCTTGCTATCTTTCAGAACAGCTTGTAGTAGTTGCTCATGACTTAGTGACATCCCGATATCGGGCTTTCTTTTCCGCACTTTTATTTTGATCTGAATTCCTTATTTAAGGTTTTATATTATATAGCTTGGGATTTGTCTTTTAAACAAAAATATCATTTTGTTTTGGAAATGTGTCGGCTTTCCTAGTACCACGATAGGCGCCATCACGACAGGGATAGTTTGGGTCATGACAGGCGTGCAGCCCGATCCCGTAGCTGTCACTCATAATCAGGCTCTCGGCCTCGCTCAGTCATCAATCTCTCCAGTCTCACCAACGGGCTCACAATGTCGTAAAAATTGACCTGGAACAATGATATGATGTATCAATAAGTAACAACTGAGACTGAGATATGATATGAATGCATGAATATGACTGAGTACGAAATATCAATGAAATCAATGAGATGACAGCAAGAAATGACCACTATGGGTCCCAACAATATCAGCATAAAGCCTAAAAATGATATCTAGCATGATGTACA